AATAAACAATCCAAAACTTATAAATACATGTTTACATAAATAGAATATTTTTATGAGAAATATTAGGTTAGTTCAGTTCAATGACGTTTTCCTTTATATACCTTTATATATATATATATCGTAATGCCACATCACTTCATATAGAATAATAAACTCACCAGATATTAATGGACTTCAGACTGTTTGTAGGTCTCTTTATCCTTAGAGTCAGGCAAGTTGCTGGTTGCTGATTCGTTAATCAGGTAAGCTGCTAGTTGCTGATTGGTTGGGAGGTATAGTTTATCCAAGAGAGGGCTCTACAGGTTCGTTTGTTTTTGAAGTTAAGCACAAAGCTACACAATAGGCGATCTGTGCTCTGTCCACCACGGGTTATCGAAACCCGGTTTCTAGCAGTGTAAGTCCGCAGACATACCGCTCTGCCACTGGGGGCGAAGAGGGAGGGCGTTGAAAAGTTATTTAATATAATAAGATTGGTAAATAAAAGTAAGATGTCAAAGTTTTAAGTTAGAGTTTAGGGGTGTAAATTATTATTACAACGTTTTATCTTAAAATAGGCTTAGTACGTTTAACGGTACTTTAGGCTTAGGTATATTTATACTCACTGGTGAATTGTAAAACGGGAAAAAATACATTGTTTTATTAAATAAATACAATCTACAATTAGTTTATTGTCTCCTGGTGTTATAAAAATTAACTTGTTTACTTGAACTTCGATCCGTTAGTTTAAATTCAACTTATAGATATAGGTATGTTATAATATAAATCAGGCTAAAGTAAGTACGTTTTATTATTAACGTTACGTATATTGTACTAATAAATGATTAAGTTCTATATAATTGAAGATAAACTTTATTACTTTGGTGCGAAGACAAATTAGTGATAAAAAATTATATAATTGGTTCTTAAACGTTAGGCTTAACAGTAACAGTGTTAACAATAGGCTACTGACATTTGGTATTGAGTATTTATTTTCAGGCTATAAGTCTACGGATTTCCAACAGATGCCTCTGCAAAACAAAGACAATGTATCACCCGACAACTACATAGTGTCGTAAATAAACATACTTTGAAACAAACGATACATGCACGTCGCGCGTCGGAATAAGGTAAAAGTGCTAAAAGGTTAACCATATGGTTGAGTTCCCTCCCGCAGTTCAGTCTATATGTTCCGAGAAATTATTAAATGATAGTAAATAAAGCTCCTCCCATTAGCCCTTGACAAATGAATGTGTGTGTGTTGGGGGGAGGGGGGTACCTTTAACTGAAATCGTGGCGATCACAGAGAGCCAGTTAGAGTACAGTAAACGATAATTAACTAGACAAAACGCTGTTACATGAAGAAAACAGTCAAAATAGATTGTCAAATGTCAAAACAACGTAATTTGATATTAATTATTTATTTTTGAACATTTCCCTACCCTCACGTGAAAATTTGAGGTTGATATTGGCTGTAAAACTCTCTCTCTCTCCGGGTCGGGATTTAGGTCTTTATGACCTAGGAGGGTCAGGTTCGTGGGGACCTCTTCCTCCTTTCCGGACTGTGTTTTGTCGTCTGTGAATGTTGATGTTGATACGACATGAAGGTCGGAGTAAACCGCACTTGCTCCGACACCTTTCAGGGCAATGTTCATGTTTGTATCCACAGTTACATTCTGTGTTTTGCATTACTTAAGTCAGTTCCATAATACGTATAACACATTTCACTAGTTATAGACTGATCAAATTCATTTTACATAAAATACCCTCTTAAACGTATTGTTCTTAGACTCTAACTAGTGTAGGGTTTTAAGGTCTAACAGTAGGTGGCCTGATTACATCCTTATTTTTAAAATAAATGTTTACAGATGAGAGGTACTTAGGCCTACTTCCGTCATGTATGTAATAACGATCGAGTTCACAAAGTGGGTCATTCTTTTGCCAGTTTTTCTCAAAGTAATTTAAAGTATTATGTAAGAGTCTATCAGCTATTGTTTGTACATTTGCATATCTGTGCATAAATTTTGATGAGGTACTGCGGGGGACTTTGTATGCTGTGATGATTATTGTGTTTTGTATTGTTTGTAGTTTATTTATGTGTCTTGGAACTATGTTTATCCATTCCGGGCTGGCATATTCTATTATGGCACGTATGTTTTGTATATTTTAATAATGTTATCAGGTGATGTTCCCTGGGTTTTGTAGTTTATTTATGTGTTTTGGAACGATGTTTATCCATTCCTGGAGAAGTGTTCTATTCATATATAGTTTAGGTGGATCTTTTTGGTCCTTTGTTAATCTTGAGAAGGTTAGTAATTGGTTTTTCGGGACGTTTATTTTTATTCTATATTTTTGGCAGTATTCTTCTATATTATTTAGTACTGGTTGTAGATTTGTTGTTGCTATGGATGGGGTGGGGGACACTTTTCCAGATCGCAACATCGTCCGCGAATTGTGATGCACAACCGTGATTTGGATCTTTTAATGGTATATTACTTACATACATGATGAATAGAATAGGGCTAACTACTACTTGGGGTACGCCTGCCTCTGGGGTAAATGCCTCAGAGTAGGTTCCCCGTACATTTATTTTACACGATCTGTTATCCAAGAAGTTAGATAGCCAGCGAATAATCACCCGCGGTTGTTCCAGTTCTGACATGTGGAACCTGAGACCGTTGTGCCATATTGTGTCGAATGCTTTCTCGACATCGAGAAAGCAGACGACAGTGCATTCATTTTTGTTGAAGCTATCAATTATTGTTTCTGTAAGTCTATCCAGATGATCTGTTGTCTGTCTGAATTTTCTAAAACCATTTTGTGTTTCTAATAGTTTAGAAGTGACTTCTAGGTAATTTGAGAGTCTGTTGCTTATTATTCGTTCTAGAATTTTTCCTACACAGCTGGTCAAGCTGATCGGGCGGTAGTTGTTTGGTTTATTTGCTGGCTTTCCTTCTTTATGGAACATAAGTACTATCGCTTGCTTCCGAGAAACCGGGATATATCCAGAACTCAGTGATAAGTTAAATATTGCCGTTAGGTGTTCATACAATCTCCGAGTGCCTTTTTTGAGGACGATGGCCTATATACCATCTTCTCCTGGTGCCTTGTTTTTGGTGGTTTTAATAACTTGTTGGACTTCTGTTTCTGTAATTGTTTTTGTGAGTAGATGTGTAATTGGGTTTTCTATTTCATTTAGTCTGATATTTGTGTTTTGTATGTTAACTGGATATTTAGGTATGTACAGGGTTATGTTTTGTATGATGTAATTGTTTACTTTGTTGTAAAAATGTTCGTTCATGTCTGGTCCATTGTGTGTTTTAAATGTGTTTTATAAGTGTTCTTTGAATACTTGAGCTTTTTCTGTGTTTTGTGTTTCTAGGGGTGGGTAATTGCTATTAGTGTTTCCCGTATTGGTCAATCTTTTTAAATGGTTCCAGAATTGTTTTGGGTCAGTTTTATCGTTTAGTTGGGAGCAGAAATTGTGCCAAACTATCTTGCTGTAAAACTTTATTTTGTAGAAGCTCAAGTTCAAACTCGCCGCCAGGATTACGTTTATCGTTTATTTTGTATTATTACAAGATGT